TATTATAGATAGAACAATGACATACAGGGTACACCATCAAGTGATTATTATAGATAGAACAATGACATACAGGGTACACCATCAAGTGATTATTATAGATAGAACAATGACATACTGGGTACACCATCAAGTGATTATTATAGATAGAACAATGACATACAGGGTACACCATCAAGTGATTATATAGATAGAACAATGACATACAGGGTACACCATCAAGTGATTATTATAGATAGAACAATGACATACAGGGTACACCATCAAGTGATTATTATAGATAGAACAATGACATACAGGGTACACCATCAAGTGATTATAGATATAGATAGAACAATGACATACAGGGTACACCATCAAGTGATTATTATATAGATAGAACAATGACATACAGGGTACACCATCAAGTGATTATTATAGATAGAACAATGACATACAGTGATTATTATAGATAGAACAATGACATACAGGGTACACCATACACAATGACAGGGTACACCATCAAGTGATTATTATAGATAGAACAATGACATACAGGGTACACCATCAAGTGATTATTATAGATAGAACAATGACATACAGGGTACACAATCAAGTGAATCATTATAGATAGAACAATGACATACTGGGTACACCATCAAGTGATTATTATAGATAGAACAATGACATACAGGGTACACCATCAAGTGATTATTATAGATAGAACAATGACATACAGGGTACACCATCAAGTGATTATTATAGATAGAACAATGACATACTGGGTACACCATCAAGTGATTATTATAGATAGAACAATGACATACAGGGTACACCATCAAGTGATTATTATAGATAGAACAATGACATACTGAGTACACCATCAAGTGAATCTTATAGATAGAACAATGACATACAGAACCATCATGACATACATAGATAGAACAATGGGTACACCATCAAGTGATTATTATACATACAGAACAATGACATACAGGGTACACCATCAAGTGATTATATAGAACAATAGAACACCATACAGGGTACACCATCAAGTGATTATTATAGATAGAACAATGACATACTGAGTACACCATCAAGTGATTATTATAGATAGAACAATGACATACAGGGTACACCATCAAGTGATTATTATAGATAGAACAATGACATACTGGGTACACCATCAAGTACACCATCAAGTGATTATTATAGATAGAACAATGACATACAGGGTACACCATCAAGTGATTATTATAGATAGAACAATGACATACAGCGTACACCATCAAGTGATTGATTATTATAGATAGAACAATGACATACTGGGTACACCATCAAGTGATTATTATAGATAGAACAATGACATACAGGGTACACCATCAAGTGAATCTTATAGATAGAACAATGACATACAGGGTACACCATCAAGTGATTATTATAGATAGAACAATGACATACAGGGTACACCATCAAGTGATTATTATAGATAGAACAATGACATACTGAGTACACCATCAAGTGATTATAGATAGAACAATGACATACTGGGTACAATGACATACTGGGTACACCATCAAGTGAATCTTATAGATAGAACAATGACATACAGGGTACACCATCAAGTGAATCTTATATATAGAACAATGACATACTGAGTACACCATCAAGTGATTATAGATAGAACAATGACATACTGAGTACACCATCAAGTGATTATTATAGATAGAACAATGACATACAGGGTACACCATCAAGTGATTATTATAGATAGAACAATGACATACAGGGTACACCATCAAGTGATTATTATATATAGAACAATAGAACAATGACATACAGGGTACACCATCAAGTGATTATTATAGATAGAACAATGACATACTGAGTACACCATCAAGTGATTATAGATAGAACAATGACATACTGAGTACACCATCAAGTGATTATTATAGATAGAACAATGACATACAGGGTACACCATCAAGTGAATCTTATAGATAGAACAATGACATACAGGGTACACCATCAAGTGAATCTTATATATAGAACAATGACATACTGAGTACACCATCAAGTGATTATAGATAGAACAATGACATACACCATCAAATTATTATAGATAGAACAATGACATACTGGGTACACCATCAAGTGAATCTTATAGATAGAACAATGACATACAGGGTACACCATCAAGTGAATCTTATATATAGAACAATGACATACTGAGTACACCATCAAGTGAATCTTATAGATAGAACAATGACATACAGGGTACACCATCAAGTGATTATTATAGATAGAACAATGACATACAGGGTACACCATCAAGTGATTATTATAGATAGAACAATGACATACAGGGTACACCATCAAGTGATTATTATAGATAGAACAATGACATTATAAGATAGAACAATGACATACTGGGTACACCATCAAGTGATTATTATAGATAGAACAATGACATACAGGGTACACCATCAAGTGATTATTATAGATAGAACAATGACATACAGGGTACACCATCAAGAGATTATTATAGATAGAACAATGACATACAGGGTACACCATCAAGAGATTATTATAGATAGAACAATGACATACAGGGTACACCATCAAGTGATTATTATAGATAGAACAATGACATACTGGGTACACCATCAAGTGATTATTATAGATAGAACAATGACATACAGGGTACACCATCAAGTGATTATTATAGATAGAACAATGACATACAGGGTACACCATCAAGAGATTATTATAGATAGAACAATGACATACTGGGTACACCATCAAGTGATTATTATAGATAGAACAATGACATACAGGGTACACCATCAAGAGATTATTATAGATAGAACAATGACATACTGAGTACACCATCAAGTGATTATAGATAGATAGAACAATGACATACAGGGTACACCATCAAGTGATTATTATAGATAGAACAATGACATACAGGGTACACCATCAAGTGAATCTTATAGATAGAACAATGACATACAGGGTACACCATCAAGTGATTATTATAGATAGAACAATGACATACTGGGTACACCATCAAGTGATTATTATAGATAGAACAATGACATACAGGGTACACCATCAAGAGATTATTATAGATAGAACAATGACATACAGAGTACACCATCAAGTGATTATTATAGATAGAACAATGACATACTGAGTACACCAAATTTAAATCCAAAATAGGTACTGTCTTATTGTCAGTTTGAATATATTGAATATACTAGTAATGTATTATAAATATATTAGATAGTAATATTTTGATACTAAGTAAAGAAACAAGATTTAAACTTAACAATTTCAGTTTGGATAAATGTAAATTTTGCACAAAGACGTTTACAAAAGTAATAATCCAAGAAGAGAAATAAAACTATATCTATTATTGTTATGTCCACAAACTGGTAAAGTAAATAGATTTATTTACCTATAGTTGTCAATAAAAACAAGTTTCAACAATGAAATAGTGATTTTTTAACAAAATATCACAAAAATTGATCCCAACAGACATATATCAGGGCTCTCACATCCCATTTTGGGACTGGGGCCCGGGGCTTGGGGCCCTTAGAATTGGGAAAATAGCGGCGTTTTCCTTAGAATTGGGAAAACTTGGGGTCTAAATTGGGAAAAAAAGATACTATTTTGCATTGGGAATATCGGCCCCAAATCTGGCAGATCGAGAGCCCTGTATATGATGAATGATAATGCTTAATATGATTAGGTTTTTCATTGTACGATAGAGTTGTGCTTCATGGAAACTTGTCTGGATTATCTGTCTTTATTATCAGTATTAGAAGTAAGATATACAGGTATGTAGGTTACAATGCCTTTGACCTATACATCCTCTCTCAACCACATGCTATATATATAGCTGTTGTTAAAAATACAAATGTATTGAAATATTTTTATTGTTTTTCTCTAAATCAAAATTAACGCTCATCAATAATAATTCATTGTACAGGTACACACTAATGAATCCTTGTACTACCTGTATATAGTTAAGTCCAGTAAATTTCAAGTATTACAGGTGTCACATGTGTTATACCAGTGTTATGTATCTAGGTAAATAATAACATTATATATATTGGTGTATGACCATGTAGAGTGTACATAATATTTAGAGAAATTGTTGGGTTTCCCCCCTCATTTTTTATGCTCCCCAAAATTTTTTTTGTTGGGAGCAAGAAGTCACTGCCTTGTCTGTCCCTCCGTCCGTCCGTCCGTCCGTCCGTCCGTCCATCCTTTCCTGTCCAGAGCATAACTTTGCCCATAGTTAAATAAGGATAATGAAACTTGGTGTATTCATTAATCATACTAAGATGATGTACATTATACCAGATGTAGAGCCCTTGACCTCTCAATTGTATTAGTTATTTTCCTTTGTTAAAAATTTCTTGTCTGGAGCATAACTTTGATTTGTTAAAAATTTCTTGTCAGGAGCATAACTTTGCTTGCATCAAAACTAGGATAATGAAATTTGGTGTAAACACTGATCATACTAAGAGGATGTGCAGTGTATAGGGCCTGCAACCCCTTAATTACAGACTTATTGCCCTTTGTTAAAATTTCATGTCCAATAAAGTCTTGTGTGGAGCATTCATCAGTTTCACTGATTCTCTTGTCTCACATTTATTATTATACATATTCATTATCCTGAATAAGGAGGTCAGTCCTGTTTATTTTGTGGATTGATAGCTCATCAGGATGTGATAAGGATTGATTATATAAATTGTGTTACCGGTTGAAATACCTTTGTTTTGCTTGATTTCAGGTGGTCAGTCATGTGTAATGTTTGATCAGGATCATCACACTGCTTTCCTATACACACAGCTAGTGTTAATGATGTGGAATGGATGGAGATAACAAATTGATCTGTGACATATATAATACACAGAACTTTTCCCTCCGCAGGCTTCATTGGTGATAGAGGGAAGATATTGCAAAGATGGCTTGTTAGGTATTTATAAACAAATCTAAACTATCCCAAAATGGCAGATTGTGACGACAATTGTGTTGAAAATGTGCAGCAACAGCAGGTCAGTAGTGACCAAGACAAGCAGGGCAATGTATTTGGGAGAACTCAAGGGGCAAGCAAAGGTACTGTCCAGGGACAAGTGCAGTCTGACTCTGAGACAGTTGGTGTGGAGCTTTCTCGAGAGGAAAGACGTCGACAACGAAGGCAGGAAAGGGCGAGATCTAGAGAATCCTCCAGAGAACGAACCAATGGGGAGGATACAAAATCAGTGGAAAGTGAAATAAATAGTCAAAAATCCAGACGAAGACGGTTTATTACAAGAGATGCTGATGAAGGAGAGAACACCAGCAGTACAGCTGTACCCTCCACTGTACCTCCTGTTGTTGTGCCTGTACTTGATTCCACTAAACTTCCTCGGAGTCGACAGATAAGGAAACCAGCTGATACAGAGGGAACAGCATCGCCCCCTGTGTCATTACCTGTCAAAGTAGTTGACAAAACACCACAACCTGAGGTGGCATCTTCATCTCTTAGTAAGGCTGAGGACCTACAGAGACGGAGACAAAGAAGGCGTGAACTTAGTGCTGAACGGAGAGCCAGAATGGGAACAGCTCCTCTCGTCTCTCCAGAGCCAGATATTCTACCAGAGGTCAAGGCCACAACTGTTCCAACTGGCAATAAACTTGGTGACAATTTAAACAATATGCAAGCTAATTCATCTGATGGTCAGTCTTCTAGTGTTTCACAAGACAGTAGTGTTGGTGATATTCATGTTCCTGTGATTAAAAACTCTGAGGTTGTTACTGCTCAGTCAGTATCATCTGGTTATCAAAGTAACGATGAGTCTTCAGGGCAGACAAAATATAAACTTTTGAGGACACCCAGGGAAGATAGAAGAGAGAGGCGATTATCAGGGAGTGATGCTATTTCAAGTTCTCAAAGTCCAAAGCATAATTTACATGTTCAAAATTCAAAGCAGACTGCTGATAACACTTTACCCTTAGAAGCAGGTCAGAAAAATGTTACGTTAATATATCAGTCAAGTCACGATATGAATGGAGACAGTCAGGAAGGAAATGAGTTTCAGAGACAAATAATTGATACTAGCAATACTTCCTCATCTAATGCTCCACTTAGTCCTTCCTACAAACACAAGATGCAGAACCTTTCTCCGAAGCCATATAGTCCTCCTGGAAAACACGATGCTGAAGGATCTTCTCCAACATTCTCACCTTGGCCAACAAACACAACTGTACAACCTGTATCCTCCTTTCCTTCCAGTCCTCGCCAGGATACTAGACCAGTCTCGCCATCTGTCAGATCAGATGGGGAGGCAAGACAAAGTCCTAGTCTAGTCCAGATGGGTGGCAGATCTCGACATGGGTCTGGGTCAACACCTGTTAAGTCACAAAGTGCTGAGGAGATGTCTGACAGGAAGAGAGATCCACCATCTTCCTCTAAAACTAGTAAGTCTATGGACTTTAATGAACAGAATGCATTTAAAGGTTCTTCATCGTTAAAAAGGACAGCACTTGTTACAGACCTGGACAAAGCCATGCAACAGATGGATCAGGAGAGACTACATAGATTGTTTAAGAATGAAGGAAAGTCAGAACATGGAGACAAGATAGAGAAGGTGAGTGGAGGTATAATGGGGTCACAAGGGGATGATGGGGTGATGGAGACAGATTTAGATGCTGAAACTGTGACCCCCAGTAAATACAGAACACCAACCAAAGCAACAATACCAATGACTGGGAGTACTGCCTCATCAAGTGGAAAACTACTTACGTCACTGCGGGACAACTATCAAAAATTACAGGAAAAAGTAGCTTCCCACAGACAAAGGACAGGGTCGGACTCCTCTTTACTGGAGAGACCAAATATTAAAAAGGTGAAGGAAAGACAGAAAACTATGGATGACTCGTACAGACCACAAGTCAATCTAGATGATGCTGTTAAATGGCCCGAATCTGTACCAGAAAGATTAGACTTCAGGCATTTAGATGTATTTGAAGGTAAGATAAAACTCTAAGAATCTATTTGTACAGTAAGTTGAAGACTCTGTATATCCCTATAATCCGTCACAGATTCTGGACAAATTTTATCAAATATATAATTTGAGCGACATAGTGCCTTCACCCTACTAAATTGATATATGTTCAGGAATTTAAAAAATTGTACATCGTTTTAATATACTGAATTGTGCATCGCAGTAATTATCATGTGATAGCTGTTGGGGACAACATATATTCAGACCCAAATCAAGTTGGGGCTGGAGTTAATACATTATAGTAGAGAAAATACTGCCAACCTGATTTATCATGTAACATTGCTGACTTCACTTTAACACAGGGAAGATGCTACTGCAGTTTCTGTGTTCTTCGATAGACGAGAACCACTACTTACGTCTGATTCTGACATCACATGATCTCCAGGTAGTCATTTCTCAGGTGGTGACCTGTCTGATAGCCACTGGTATCATCAAGGAGCTGGAGCAGAGGGAGGGCCAGTTTGTCTTCAGAGTATGTACTACAAATATTACATGTATATGATTGCATGGAGTTTTTCTAATCCTGGTGATAGCAACAGTGAACTAACTGTATTAAGCGTAAACAATGACATAAACAAACATAGTTTATACATCACTTGATTGTTAACTGAAGTAGAGGATGCAGTATAACAAAGAATTTTTAATCACAGATCTCTGGTCAGTTACAAATGTTAAAAAGGACAATTTCAATTTTGGAAGGAAACAAATATCTTTCATGCCATTTTTTTTGTTTCTCCTGAAAAAAATGGGATATATCACTTACACTGTTTTTCTGACGGTACAAGGACAGTTATATTTTTGTATGTGAGAAGGGAGACAACTGTGATTGCTTTACAATGACTAGGTTGAAGTAGTGTATGTGAACAGTTTTCAGCAATGCTGAGTCTACCATGTTTTCCATTCATTAATTAATGAAACATTTGTTAATTTGCTTCATAAATCATATGAAAAACCTTTGATATTTCCATGAACAAGACTTCACACAAAGAAATCCAAGGCATGTTAACTGACCTATTTCTTACAAATTTATATCAACCTTAAAAACAACATAATTAGCTATTCTTTATAGCGGATTATTATTTGAAACTATGAATACATGAATGATATAAGTTTTAATAGTACTGGTAATTCAAATTAACATTTAATGGGGAAAACATCAATATATTACTGGGGTTGAAGGAATGAAGCATATCATACATACATCATATAATTGCTTTCAGAAGTTCACTTAAGTATCTGGTATTATAATTTTTTTTAAGTTGTTCAAATTTCAAACATAAATACATGATATATGACAGTTAAACTTTTGGCAGATTTAAAATTAATGTGTTAAAAAGTTATGGCTTTGAAAAGAAGCCAAATTAGAGTTCAGATGCTAGTACGTGGAGAGGTATTACATCGTAAAGACAATGTCTTGTGGACATATACTGGTGTTACATCGTAAAGACAATGTCTTGTGGACATATACTGGTGTTACATCATCAAGACAACATCTTGTGGACATGTACAGTATATATAAACATGTAGATATGTACATTTTTATTTAGTCATCTTAGTATCTAATCCATATCAACAATAAAACATCTTCCAGAAGTTTACATTCATATTTGGTAAAAATGAAACAAGTCTTAGAAATGTTCATTTTTACTGATAATCTGGCGAGGTAAATGACTCATGAATCACATCTGAAATGGAATATCTTGTAAGTTTATTTTCATTAATAGGTCAGATAATTTTGCAAATATTTGTGAAAACAGGAATTTATTAGACTTAAACAAAATCAGAATTGATGATATTCTTTCTCCGTCTGTGGTGATGGATCAGTGTATATCATCACTAATTTATGAAAACAATAACTGGAAATTTTAGCCAATCAATGCTCCAATAGGTCATATAACATGTGTGTCATAACAAAAAATATGTAATGGGTGTTATTACTCAGATGGCAATGTAGTTATGCGATAAATGAGAACATTATTTTGAGTGTAATGAAGATGTATTTAGCCCTGTCCACTTTTGTGATGTATCTCATAGTTTATCTTGTCTGTAACCATCTCACCCAGGTTAGAGTCCTGACTAAAAGTACAACATCAGCCAAGATGTACATTTCTGACAATAATTTTGTCTGTAACCATCTCACCCAGGTTAGAGTCCTGACTAAAAGTACAACATCAGCCAAGATGTACATTTCTGACAATAATTTTGTCTGTAACCATCTCACCCAGGTTATAGTCCTGATTAAAAGTACAACATCAGCCAAGATGTACATTTCGGACAATAATTTTGTCTGTAACCATCTCACCTAGGTTATAGTCCTGACTAAAAGTACAACATCAGCCAAGATGTACATTTCGGACAATAATTTTGTCTGTAACCATCTCACCCAGGTTATAGTCCTGACTAAAAGTACAACATCAGCCAAGATGTACATTTTGGACAATAATTTTGTCTGTAAAAGGTTATTGTAATGATTTGACAAATAAATTTTGCCATATCAAAAAAATAATATTAAATTTGAGGTACTCAATTGAGAGCAGTATAAATCTGTCTTATATACTGTTACTGAACAGTCAGGCCAAATCTAACTTTTATGTGGGTTTTCAATTTAAGAAATCAATTTTCCATGTCATTATGTCTCTTTCATCTTTAAAAAATATAGCTATGTTAATAAAATAATCTGTATCAAATTGAGATGTTTCTGTATATATATCTGACATACAAGAAATACATGGAGGCCTGGTTCTGAACAAGAAATCTATAGCTCTGTCAACCTTTTTAGGTCACCTAGGACACAATCTCATGCGCGGTGGGTCGGTAAACTTTTAACATTTTCGACTTCTTCTCAAAAGCTCCTGAACCAATTTCAATGAAATTTTACAGAAACCTTCCCTGGCCTGTGAGGAACGATATAGTTCCCATTCCCCAGGAGTATGGGGGGCAGAGCCAAAAGGGATCAAATTTAAAAAGGCTCTTTTTCATCATCTAGAGATGGTAGATTTAAATGCTTTTCTTGAATGGAAAGGTCTTTTGGTACTTTACCAAAATTGTGAATGTCATGACCCTAGGATCTCCCATTTTCCCTGGGGAGGAGGTAAAGTTTACTATATGTTATTTAGGATAATAGATTTTTGAACCTAATTTGTTACATTTCTATTGGTATTATTTCAAACTTGGTTTAAGTTATAAGCAAAGGTGACAGATTGATGGTATCCTGGATGACCCACGGGGGCTGATAGGTGGGGCCAAAAGGAGTCATGTTGACTCAAATTTCAAAACTTTTCTCAACACCCAGATATTGCAGCATTAAATGCTCTTCATGGATGGAAGAGTGTCCAGGCGCTTTACCGAAATTGGAAATGTCCTGACCCCAGGGTCTCGAATTTGCCCGTAGAGAGGAATTGAAGTTTACTTTAGTTTACATAGAAAAATTGGATTTTTGAGAATAAAGTTTTTTATTTTCATTGGAAATAACTTTTTTAAGAATTATTAGTATAGGATGACAGTACGCATATATTGACACTGGCTGACCCTCAAGGACTTAAAACATACTACTGAAGCCTTACTATCATTAATGTCGAAATGTTTGTTTATTGACACCTGAAAGCTACTTACCCGATAACCTTTGTATTCGATATTGCTTATCTTTGGTGTTCATCAAGGTCGCTCGGCCTATATTGTTCTAAAAATCACTATTACTCATTAACAACTGAGCAGATTTGGCCTACATCATCTTTGGGTCAAAAGAGAAACTAGTGTCTGTAATACACTGAAAAAACATTATATTAGATAGTCATTTTTAAAGTCTACACCCATTTTGAACCAGTAACCTGGTTTAGACATAAACGTAGCTACGCCCTTATTTGTGATCTAGGTAATGGTGACATACCTAAGATATTGTAGAGTTATTACTGCATCTGATATGATATAGTACAGTATACTACAACAATATCACATCAACCCTAATATAATGATGCTATCTCTTTGTCACGCAAAAGTCTGAGATATTATCACCCAAACCAAGAGTGATAGGCTGGTTGTATCTACTCACCTGTCAGGTATATAGGTACACAGGTATGACCTAGGTATATACTGTCCTTGTTGGTTCACTACACGACAGGGCACCATCATCAACATTCACTATTCCTTCATTGTTGGTGTTCATTCCCTTGGTCGCAGGTCTCATTTCACCTGAAGCCCAAACCATGGTTACCAAGCTTTATCAGAAATAATCTTCTGATACAGGGAAAGTTCCACACCTGAGGATAGTCACTCCTACTGTTTCTAAACCGGATTTTCTACAAGAGATTTTGCCACCAGGCATCGTGTTGTAAATCGGCTGTCTGCTATTGTGGTAATTGTGGCAATATAATTGGGCTTAAAATGCACTACGGCAGTAGATGATGATAATTATTAAGTAAATGTTGCCAGTGTATCCCTCTATATTATATACAGATCAGAATAGTGTTTTGGAGTTTTCTGACTAATGCCTTGGACTGCCTGTAATAAGGCATTTAATGTGTGGTGTCATCTGTCAGAATTCAATGGTGTGGAAGTTTGGTTTTAGTCAGACATCACACACAAATATAGAGTACTAAGGCAACTACCGTATATGTGCTAAATCTAGTATTGGTTGGTCATTCTGATACAGCACATACTTCTGTGACTCCAAATGCCATACAAGGTGAAGTCGGGGACATCTTTGACTATCTCACTTGTATGTATGGAAGATCAGTCCATGGGAGAGGTAGGTTGACTAGCCTGTATCACCCAGGTTCTCCCTCCAATTTCTGAAAAATGTATTTATCACACCATTTTAAATGTTTTAAAAGAAACATTGTATAGCATTACCATTTCTCATCCTAACGTCAAGGTTTTGTTAAATCATTCATGTGTTCAAACCTTCTTTGATACTTTGAAGATAACGTATGTATGTACAACTATAGTCTATTTAAATAGCAATGTTTGTATGACATTCACTTAAATGTCAAGGTCACAGTGTCATCTTTACATACAAACTCAGGACAAGTAAGGAATAGGGAATGTATACAGGAGGACACGTATGACAGTGGTCTTACTGTATATAGAGGGGAGTTAGAGGACATGTATGACAGTGGTCTTACTGTATATAGAGGGGAGTTAGAAGACATATATGACAGTGGTGTTACTGTATATAGAGGGGAGTTAGAGGACATGTATGACAGCGGTGTTACTGTATATAGAGGGGAGTTAGAGGACATGTATGACAGCGGTGTTACTGTATATAGAGGGGAGTTAGAGGTCATGTATGACAGTGGTCTTACTGTATATAGAGGGGAGTTAGAGGACGTGTATGACAGTGGTGTTACTGTATATAGAGGGGAGTTAGAGGACATGTATGACAGCGGTGTTACTGTATATAGAGAGGAGTTAGAGGACATGTATGACAGCGGTGTTACTGTATATAGAGGGAGTTAGAGGTCATGTATGACAGTGGTCTTACTGTATATAGAGGGGAGTTAGAGGACATGTATGACAGTGGTCTTACTGTATATAGAGGGGAGTTAGAGGACATGTATGACAGTGGTCTTACTATATATAGAGGGGAGTTAGAGGACGTGTATGACAGTGGTGTTACTGTATATAGAGGGGAGTTAGAGGTCATGTATGACAGTGGTCTTACTGTATATAGAGGGGAGTTAGAGGACATGTATGACAGCGGTGTTACTGTATATAGAGGGGAGTTAGAGGACGTGTATGACAGTGGTGTTACTGTATATAGAGGGGAGTTAGAGGACATGTATGACAGCGGTGTTACTGTATATAGAGAGGAGTTAGAGGACGTGTATGACAGTGGTGTTACTGTATATAGAGGGGAGTTAGAGGACATGTATGACAGTGGTCTTACTGTATATAGAGGGGAGTTAGAGGACATGTATGACAGTGGTCTTACTGTATATAGAGGGGAGTTAGAGGACACGTATGACAGTGGTCTTACTGTATATAGAGGGGAGTTAGAGGACGTGTATGACAGTGGTGTTACTGTATATAGAGGGGAGTTAGAGGACATGTATGACAGCGGTGTTACTGTATATAGAGGGGAGTTAGAGGACGTGTATGACAGTGGTGTTACTGTATATAGAGGGGAGTTAGAGGACATGTATGACAGCGGTGTTACTGTATATAGAGAGGAGTTAGAGGACATGTATGACAGCGGTGTTACTGTATATAGAGGGAGTTAGAGGTCATGTATGACAGTGGTCTTACTGTATATAGAGGGGAGTTAGAGGACATGTATGACAGTGGTCTTACTGTATATAGAGGGGAGTTAGAGGACATGTATGACAGTGGTCTTACTGTATATAGAGGGGAGTTAGAGGACGTGTATGACAGTGGTCTTACTGTATATAGAGGGGAGTTAGAGGACATGTATGACAGTGGTCTTACTGTATATAGAGGGGAGTTAGAGGACGTGTATGACAGTGGTGTTACTGTATATAGAGGGGAGTTAGAGGACATGTATGACAGCGGTGTTACTGTATATAGAGGGGAGTTAGAGGACGTGTATGACAGTGGTGTTACTGTATATAGAGGGGAGTTAGAGGACGTGTATGACAGCGGTGTTACTGTATATAGAGAGGAGTTAGAGGACATGTATAACAGCGGTGTTACTGTATATAGAGGGAGTTAGAGGACATGTATGACAGTGGTCTTACTGTATATAGAGGGAGTTAGAGGACATGTATGACAGTGGTCTTACTGTATATAGAAGGGAGTTAGAGGACACGTATGACAGTGGTGTTACTGTATATAGAGGGGAGTTAGAGGACACGTATGACAGTGGTCTTACTGTATATAGAGGGGAGTTAGAGGACATGTATGACAGTGGTGTTACTGTATATAGAGGGGAGTTAGAGGACATGTATGACAGTGGTCTTACTGTATATAGAGGGGAGTTAGAGGACATGTATGACAGTGGTCTTACTGTATATAGAGGGGAGTTAGAGGACATGTATGACAGTGGTCTTACTGTATATAGAGGGGAGTTAGAAGACATGTATGACAGTGGTCTTACTGTATATAGAAGGAGTTAGAGGACAGGTATGACAGTGGTCTTACTGTATATAGAAGGAGTTAGAGGACATGTATGACAGTGGTGTTACTGTATATAGAGGGGAGTTAGAGGACATGTATGACAGTGGTGTTACTGTATATAGAGGGGAGTTAGAGGACATGTATGACAGTGAGTGGTCTTACTGTATATAGAGGAGAGTTAGAGGACACGTATGACAGTGGTCTTACTGTATAAAGAGGGAGTTAGAGGATATGTATCTCAGACAGTGGTCTAATGGACTTACTCATTGATTAATAGCTTACCGTGCTATTGTACTTCATCCTAGCTGATAAACTGTTGTTTTGGTTGATTTCCTTACCCTATAGATGATAATAACTAGTGCCTATATGTGGCACTACAGCTGTTTTGACCTTCACATGTTCAGATTAAATGACTTTCTATATAATCTTTGTACTATGATTCACTGTACTTCACATGACCAGGAAATATTGCACAAAATGTAGAAAGGATTGGGTAATGACAAGGAAATACCAAAATAAAGGGAGGGCATGGGGGCAAAGGAATCAAATATGTTTAAACAACTTCTCAATAACCTGAACACCTAGGGTGCATATATTGGCCCTTTAGGGTGATGGGATGAAGTGCTACAAGTTTGTTAATGTAAATGACCTTGGTCCACTTTCAAGATCACAGGAGTCAAATATGTCAAAATCTTTTTATTGACCAAAAAGCCAAAAGTTGCTGATATTTGGCCCATAGCATACTTGGATAAAGGGCTACTAATTTTAATAGTGTTGACCATGACATACTTTCGGGGTCAAAGATGTCAGATATGTCAAAAATTTCAATGAAATCTTATCAATAACCAAAAGTTTCATTGTACTGATACTGGGCCTTTAACATGCTGGGATGAAGGGCTACCAAGTTTGTTCACCTTGACCTACTGTCAAAGTCACAGGGGTCAAATGTGTTGAAATGCATAATCAACTTTTCAATAACCAAAAAGCTAAGGGTCTTGATACTGTGCCTGTAGCTTGCTTTTTTTTCAACAAGCAATATGTCCAGAGTAATGGCATTTTGTAGTGCATGTATAAAGAATATGATTTCAGGTTTGCAGAAAATGTCTTGATGAACCAACCAGTGTCTTCTATATAAGCTGTAGTGTAGTTATTTTAGGCCTATCTGACTTCTTTCATATACAGGTGTTTATAGTCTGATGACCCTGAAGGCCCACGGCCTCTTGTTTTTCTTCAAATTACATCTTACAAAGGAAATGTCCCAAATTCTCTCATACAATGTCATGAAATGTAATTCCTTAGTATTGTGCAATATTTATTACTATTTGTTTGTTTTCATGGATATAATTACTGTACAGAAGTGACCTATTTGTGGAATATATTACATTAACTAGGCTGATATGGACATCAGTCTTGTTATATTACACACTGTCATGTGTACCTTTAGACTAATAACAAACAAAAGCTGTGGCATGTATAGTACTAGGAAATGTGAACTATTGTAGTCTATATATGGCTTCTGTTGTCATGACAATTTGTTTAGATACCTATCAAGTCCTAGAGCATCAGTGAGAGTTGACATCCATCTCGTGGTGTTGTGAGCTAGCCTTTTATATAATTATACCTGGAAATCACCAGATATATACATAATAGGTGTTCATCTAATATACAGAGTTGTAAACAAAATAATTCCAGAAAAAATCAGCAACAAGGGCTATGGGTATAGAGAGGATGACCCTTGAAATCTGTGAAGCATCTGTTATCTGGATTGCTGGGAAAATAGTGAACTCTGTTTGAAGTGAGAGTGTGGGTAGAGATGATGTCATCTGTAAACTGTGAGGGCTGAGTGTAGCTAGAGATGATGACCCCGGTAAGCTGTGAAGGCTATGGGTAGAGGTGATGACCTCTGTAAGTTGTGAAGGCTATGGGTAGAGATGATGTCATCTGTAAACTGTGAGGGCTGAGTGTAGCTAGAGATGATGACCCCGGTAAGCTGTGAAGGCTATGGGTAGAGGTGATGACCTCTGTAAGTTGTGAAGGCTATGGGTAGAGAT